CAATCTCACCATGGTTTCATGTAGAGTATTACCAAGGATTGGAATGCTGGGGTGGGGGAATCTAAATTGTAACTACAGATCCCTCGTGTCATGTGAGCTTTTTTGTAATTTCTCAGGCCCATACCATACTTGGTGGATTTTGTAATGATCTCTGTCAAAGGAGATTACTACTAAGGGTTCCATACACCCAAAATGAAATACGAACCCCAATATTTTAATAGCTTTGTCCAAACAGGTAGAAAGTGTCTGTCCACATTACAGATGTGTTTGCACCAAGGCCTCTTAAACTAAAAACAATATTTCAAAAAACTTGCAAGGAAATGGCATTGGGTTGAAAGGAAGGATGGGTGTCAAATCTTTGGAGCATAGATTAATTCCCACAAGCCCCATAACTATCATAATATTAATCAGATGAATGTTAAGATCTTGTGGGAATGAGTAAGGCTTAGGAAAGCTCCTTGACTGGTTGTGGGCATCTTGGTCCAGGGTCAACAGTTACAAATGACTGAAACTGAGATATCCATTGGTGAGATTGCAATGAAGGAGCATATGCCATTTGGATGTGATTATTCCATGCCAGATTTTGCATACTCATTACAACATTGAAAATCTAAGACAATCATAGGAATGAGTTCAATCATTTTCTTATGGTGATGACTGAAGCTATCATATGCACTCTGGTCAAAATGATTTTCAGTGTTCCCAAACTGACAGAGGAGACAAAACATCCCTTATAATTATGATTCTCTATCTCATATTCTCACCTTCTCATATGAGGTCTAATCATTGGAGAAACATTCCACAACAACTGTGCCTTGACTCTTGGTACATTTCTAGTACCTGTTTATTCAGTATTCAGGTTCAAATCTTGCAGACCTTGATTTAAAATTCCTACTTGCCACCAAATGCCAAAGATAGATGTTTCTGCCCCACAATTTAGATACAGGAATGCAATGATTCATAAGAAAATTTAGACTGAACAAAAATCAGTACTGTGGTACTTCTCCCAAGCATCACGACCATTTTTAGTACCAGTAAGCTGTATTCTACTTGGTAATAACTTTCAATACAAAAGTTATCCTGTACAATATGAATTAATTATTGATCCTTTGCTACAAAGAAAAAATTCAACTTCAATCTCTTTACCTTCTTTATGAAATATGCTGTGATGAGAATTTTTTCAAAAATTTAAAAAAAAATCATTCTATAAAAGTTATCATTCTATAAAAGTTACCATAAAAACATTTTCAGATTTGATTTTAAATCATGTGCCATTGTCCATTGACAAACACACACCTGTTATAGGATATCTTCCCCTGTTTTCTAGAACACCTCTTGGTGCACAAATCCATGGGTCATCTGTTTTATTTTGCCAAGCATTCAACTTGCCATGTAATTCCATGATGACATCCTGATAGGCAGGTTTACCATACAGGTTTGTCAGCTCCTCTGGGTCATTTTTGAGATCATATAGTTCCCACTGAGGTCGATAATAATACTGATCAAGTGTGCGAAACCATCTAGTTGGCTTACCCTCCTCTGTGCGATTCAGAAGATCTTGATAAGTTGGAGAGACAAAAAAGTCTTGATCAATAGGAAATGGCATCTTATAGTTGAGGTTATGTATCAGTTTGAAGGTTTTGTTTCGAATAACTCTCATTGGATAATACATTGTCACTTCATGTAAGTTGTGGCTGGCAAAGACTGTATCCCAACCAGATTGTGGTTCCTCTTTTAATACAGGTAACACTGACTTCCCTGTTAACTGTACTGGATTGGGTCCCAGAAGCTTGTATGTGGGGTAATCAAGTCCAAACCAATCCAGGACTGTAGGAACTATATCAAGTAGACTAACCATAGCATCACTCTCCTGGCCCCAGCGTTCAGGGGTGTGAGGTGATGATACAAGGTAGGGCTCTGCCATGCCTGGATCAAACAGGTTTGTTCGACCAGTTGGGAATGGTATGCCATTGTCAGAGCTGTATATGACTAAGGTGTTGTCTTCAAAGCCTGCCTGCCGAAGTTCCTCCAAGATAAGCCCTATGCCCTGATCAAGGCGACTGATTGTTGTGTACTGGTTAGCAATGTCCTGTCTTGCTGCTGGTGTGTCTTGTACAAAATATGGCACAATCACATCCTCAGGGGAGTAGTGTATTGGCTTCCAGTCAGGAATAAGCCCCATGCCTGTTTCACCATTTCCAAACTTCTCACAAAAGCTTCCTGTTCACATTATGAAAATAATCATCCAATTAATAGATATTAGCAAATAAGTATCTACAATGAACACAAAAACACAACATAAGGGTTTTTTCTATGAGATATAGACTGAGATAGAGTAGTCATAGGTAGGGTATGCTGGTATGATTTTGAGCATAATAGTGAGGCAAAAGAATCAAGCATTTATGCCTGTTATCCATGCTTATAAACCCTCTATTGTGGTCTATTCATATATTTCATTTATTTTTATGTTATCAGCAATTATTATAGAGCATGATAGTGATGTTATTTAAGTATCATAGTGACATTTACTGAGAATAAAGAATTAGCATAAAAGTGTTAGAAAAAAAAAAAGGACATAATATGGACAACCCTAAGCATAGGGTGAGCTCCAAATTAACCTTTTGACCCCTAAGAGTGACCTACATCTAATTTCTCCTTAGAATATCAGCCCTGAATCAGATATTAAGGTCACAAGAATAAAGAAAATTATCACCAACTAAAGAAACTTATATTAACTATATGACCTCATTTTCTGTAAACTTTCCTTTTTTCAAGCAAATCAAGAGGCAGTTGTCCAAATGAGTTCAAATTTCATTTTCATACTGAAGTAATAAATAACTGTCGGGTATTTTCTTTTCTGAGAGGTCAGTGTGCACACTCCACAACTGAAGAGTTAAAAGGTTACATTGAGCCATTAGTTATAATAACTTAGTAGCTATTCATTTAAGCTCACCATATTCAGGATTGGTGTGTCCACATCGATGGGGGTCATGAAAGCCAATGTATAAAAAGAATGGGCGCGAGTCATTCAGAGATCCTTGGAAAAATTTCTGTGTCAGTTCTTTAATGTAGGTGATGTTGCGGCCAACTTGAAGTATAGAGTGATGGTCTTCTGTGTATGCAAATTCAAATGGATACACCTATAGAGAGAGGAAAGAAATAAAGAAACCAATATTTATCAAAAAGAAAAGGCACTATATTTTGCCGTAAGTTTGATTTAACACATATGCAATGTTCAAAAAAATGCCTTGAAAGAAAACTGGAGCACTGGCCTTACCAAAGATTTTAGCAATAGAGGAGTTTCCAAGGTTACAAAACTTATATTATGACACTATTGCAAATTAAGTCAAGAGGAGTTCCAAGAATTCAAAACAGTTATGCAAACCCAAACACAGTTACATAACTTTCAAGAATTCTTCTGACCTCCTTCATGTTTAATTGAGGCTACATAAACTCTAGATATGTTTTCTACTACTTCTACATAATAATTTAGATATATGAAAGACGAAGTTATTCAGTAAATGATACAAGCTCATTGTGAGAAAAAAGAACTCAGAGAGCTCCCAACTTAAATCAAACCTACAATATGCTGATTGGTATTTCTTTTTCTTCCAGTATACATATGTGACATTTACTCTCACCTAAACACACACCTATCAATCAAAGGGAGGCTTTCTAGTACAGTATGAGTTATTTTTTTAGGATGTCTTTTTACCTCTTCAAGCAGGAAAATATACTATATGCCATCTTAAATCCTAGGTTTTCCCTTTTTTTACCAGTAACTTACTGTTTCAGGTCCAACATGCTTCTTTCCAATAATTCCAGTTCTCACATTTGCCTTTTGCAGGAGCAATGGTAAACTTCTGACTGCATCAAACGAATTAAAGTGATGAACATCATGGTGAAGACCATACATACCATTCTGATGCTGAGGAAGACCTTCAACCAAAACATCATCAAAAGTTGTTTGATAGTTCAAATATAAAGCTCACTGAGGTGCCAAATAAATTACGAAGCATCTGTTATCAAAGTTGTTGTAAAGTATATTTTTGTACATGTAAGTGAGTGAAATCCCATTGTACAAGTAAATTACTCATTACAAATTTTCGTGATTATTCTTGAGCTGTTTACACATAAAGTCCAACACACAGCTCCATCCATTTTCATAAATTCAAGGTAAGCAGGCAGTAGATAACCCTTTCACTCTCTCAATATTTCCTGGGTTCCCTCGAGTCAGTTATTACAAAACATTTGCCACAAATGATTACTTACTTTTAAGTATTAAATGTTAAAATGTCAGTGTGTGGTTAATCCATCATAAAAGTCATATTGTTAATCTGTAGCCTTAATGATAGCATCTTTCACATTTTGATTATGGTTTTAAGGTATACTTCAGTGTTACCTTGCATTGTTTTTAAATTTATGTTTTTTGATGCAGTTAGTGTTCCCCCCCCCCCCACCCTTCTTTTTGACCCTTGTCCATCTCCTGCTATCGCCACATTATGCTTGAAGGCCATGGCATTTGATTCATTTTCAACAAATGTGAAGCTTATTAGGTTAAATAATATGCAAATTATGTGGAGTGGAAGTATAAATATGTATGTATTATAGATAATTTTCCCACATATATATATATATATATATATTATTACGTGAAATTTTGTAATCTAAAAACAAACAAAACTAATCAGACTTGATCATTAGAAATTTTTAAAATTTACCTGTTAGAATAGCTGACCTGCTTGGAGAGCAGCTACTGACTGAAGTGAAAGCTTTTCTAAAAATTACACTGCGCTTCCCCAAAGCGTTTAAATTTGGAGTTTTGCAGACCGTGTTGTCGTACACCTGCGTTTCGAAGCCTGCATCGTCTCCAATAATTACCAGGACATTCTTTCGTTCATTTGAATTCGCTATCCTGGGAATCCAGGCTAATAACACTAGACAAATAGCTGCGTGAGGTGGGCGTAATAATATTCCAATGTCTGCCATTTTGCAGTGTTGTTTGTCACGAGATGTTGGTTCCAGATTCCTTGCAACTAGTTCGCAAGTAACGCCTTGTGGTTCTGCGTTGCGTGGCGCCTAAAGCGTTCCATGCGGAACGTATTTCCGACGTGAGAGTGAAACCAGCATGGGAAAGATAAAGGTAAAGAATGATGTCTTTTGTCAAGATTTATATTACATTCTGGTTTATGAGCATTGATCAATTCAAAATTTAAAAATCCATCGTACAAAGAGTTCCCGTTAGTTAGCTGTTGTAACATGAACATTTTACACTTTTCAAGATTGTCTTGTTAATAATCAGCCCACACGAACAACTTAGCGCTTCTTTCCATAAATTTGTAAAATTAAAAAAATTATTAAAGGTTGGATGTAGATCAGATGAATTAAGCTCAAAAGTTTTCATTATGCTCTATTAAATTCCAAAGAAATATTAGCTTTTAAGAGCCCCTCAACCTCAATTTCCCCTTCCCCACCCCCCTCAATCCTACCTCCAACAGGTAAAACTTGCTAATGATAAAAGGCTTACCAAAGTTAATTAAGAACACAACATTTTATGGGAATAAATTCCTGAAGTGCATGTAAGAAAAGCAGGCTCACTCTTTACAATTACTCAGGCTACAGAATTCATCTTCTGTTGAACTGTCTGTAACATTAGGGAATTTTTGAATAGTGGTATTATGCACAATGCTCTGACTATAGTATTCTGCCCTAAATTATGCCTGTATAATTTATCTGACCCTGTTTGGATGTCTAATGGAGGTGTAATAGAGTATGAAGTCTGACGAATCTAATCTGACCAGTTTAGAAAGGAAATAGGTATTTCTTTATTTGTAAAACTTTTTTATTTTTTGATCATATAGATTGGAATCATCGGTGGCACTGGCCTGAGTGATCCTGATATTTTAAAAGAAGGAAAAGAAAAACAAGTTTCAACACCATTTGGAGAGGTAAGTCTGTGATGTGTAATGTGTTCCAGTATGATTTATTGAGCAACACAATATGAAGGCTTAGAGTGAGGTATTTTTAATGATCAAGTAGGTGGCAAATATTGTTGGAAAATAAAGCTTACTCAATCACACAAAAATCAAGAAGTAAAATTCCACTATAGTGAATGGGGGTCTTTGCATTATGGCTCTCTTGATAAATAATTGTAGAAATGCATAATATTGTATGATGTAGGTATTTTGAGAAAGTATCTTCCTTACATGGTGCAAAATTGAGAAAGGAATGTGTAATTTATGTCTGGGATAAAAAGCACTGGTAGAACAGAGTTATGAATTACCTAATGTGGCAAATTCAGATGTAGCCTTCTTCTTCCATTTTCAATTTTCTTATAATGAAGACATATTCTTTTGGATCAGCCAAGTCCTCTGGAGAAAATTCAACTTAATAATTTGAGTGAGATATTTACCTCTTGTTTTGCTTTGCACATAATGCCAGCTTGAAGATGTGTGCTATTCTGCTAGTCTCCAGTTCTTCATAGTTGTCATTTTCCAGACTATACTTGTAGGGTCATATTGTCTTAACAGCTTATTACAGACAGTAAAACCCATCTAAACCAGCCTGATATATCCTTCAATTGTAATTTTTTCTGTCCAGCCCCAAGTTTTGTTTGGTTTATGTTCTTCATAACATCTGCACTTTATTAATCGGCTTTACACTCTAACATCATTATGCGTAATCTCCTTATTGTTCTCTCATATACATTTCCTAAGGTGCTGACAAAGACCTTAATATGTGATTCAGGGGTGATATTGTAAGGAGGAATTAGTTGCTAATCACTCGTAGGGGTCAAAGGGTTTAGTTGGAAAAATCAGAGGACATCACAGGAACTGTAATGTTGTATTTGTTATATTCATCTTGGTTTTATTTTACTTGGACATGATTTAGTTATGTTCAGTGGAGTCTTGTTAATAAGAGCACTTCATGATATGACATTTTATCTATGATGTAATCTCATCAGTGTGAAATCCTGAAAATATCTAGAAACCAGCCTATTATTTTGTCCAAATTTTCATGGTCCAGTTATAGTGGTTTTAGCAAATAACAGTGTTCTATGTAACATTCTGTGGTCTTGATCATTGATATATTATGTTAAAATATTTTAAGCCCTCAGATGCCTTAGTTGTTGGTAAAATATCTGGAGTGGAGTGTGTTTTGTTAGCAAGGTAAGTACATCATTTATTAAAATGAATTGCTATAGCTATGACATTATCACCATTATCCACAGGGACATTCCCATCATTATCATTATTAGTTGTTTTAAATACTTAGAATCTGACCACTATGTTATTATGACACACACACAAAAAACACAATTTCATCTTACTTTAATCATAAGGTGAATATTAGGACTTTTGAAAATCATTTATTTTTTGTTACTTTTGTGTTTCATAATTTAGTACACATTAGCAATGTGCAAGTATCCTGTTAGGTTCAATTTTGTCTTGTTCTTCATCTTTCTTTCCACTTCAAAGCCTGACTTTTGTTTTTAAGCTTTAACTTTCTGTAATGGTGTGGGCCTATTGTAATAATCAACCTGTTAAGACCGGTTCCTTATTGATTTGTTTGGCTTGTCTCTCAACTTTGTGTGGCAGGCATGGTAAGAAACACACTGTCATGCCAACAAATATCAACTATCGGGCAAACATTTGGGCTCTGAAGGAGGAGGGCTGCACTCATGTTGTTGTCACTACAGCATGTGGATCTTTAAGAGAGGAATATAAACCTGGAGATCTGGTGTTTCCAGATCAGTTCATTGATCGGACCACTAAAAGAGTTTCTACATTTTATGATGGTAAAGAAGGAAGCCCAGCTGGAATCTGTCACATGCCCATGCATGAACCTTATTGTCGTCATGTTAGAGAGGTTTGTGTTATGTTTATCTTTTTTGAGTGATGGAGCTGAATGATGTCTGCCCATGTCACAAATACAACTATGAAACATGTTGCTCTCAAACTGCATTTTTATATTGCATGGACTCAAAACATTCTCATCAAGGATTCTACCTTCTTCACTGTCTTCAAGAGTAAATTTAAGGAGATTAAGAGTCATATTCTTTCCATAACTTTGGGTTCTCAATTGGTGTCAAAGAGAATTTTAGTAAGGATGATTTTCAATATTTTGTAAAGTTTGTGGCCACTTTTTCAGAAAAGAACTGATCCAAATTTTGAATTCCAGAAATAACCAGAATATTTTTAAAAGTAATACTCTACATAATTTCAATCATATGTATTTATCTCAGAGAACTGGTGCAGGTTTTTATTTTAATTAGATGGTGGGTCCATATCAGTTTTTTTTTCTTGTTATTTCATGGACATATTTTTTTTATTTCTTCTGTTGATATACCAATATAATAAGTGATTATCTCTGCCTCTGCAATGCAGTCAAAACAAGTTCTTTTTTGTTTGTTATTTTGTTGGGTTTTTTTTTACATGTCTTGTGACCACTCATAAGTAGAACACCTTACAGTCATACTCATATTTGATTAGTAAATGCTGAAGAGAGAGTTTAATTATTAAAAGTAAATTAGACTTTGAACAGTTTGTATCCAGTTTTATCTTTCCTTTTCCAGTTCAATTAATGTACCTCTAACATGCTTTTCAGATTCTTGGTGAAGTTGCCAAAGAATTGAATGTAAGTCATCACAGCTCAGGAACCAATGTTGTTGTGGAAGGTCCTCGCTTCTCATCTAAAGCTGAAAGCAAAATGTTTCAAATGTGGGGAGGAGACATCATTAATATGACAGCTGTTCCAGAAGTAGTCCTGGCTAATGAAGCTGGTCTTTGTTATGCTGCTATTGCTATGGTTACTGACTATGACTGTTGGAGAGATGATCATGAACCAGTAAGTATTCTGTCTATGTGTAACTAATGCAGGTAATTCTTCTCTGAATTCGATACTAACTCAGAGTGGCTAATGTGCAATCTAGGAGTGCGTGAATAATACATTCTTGGACTGAATAATGCACCCTGGACTCTGGATTAAGACCACCTGGGTCCTTGAATTGGGTTCTTGGACAAGAGGCTTTTCTCTTACAGCCTCACTTCTCCTAGAGTATAATAGTATACCCAAAAACTGTCAGGAAAGCTTGTTAAATTGTTTGAGGTTTTTATTGTGGAAAGGGGACAAGTGGCAATCAAACTTACTTCAATAAAGGGGCAATCCTTGAAATATATACTTTTCAAAATTCATCACTCTGTTTTACTTATTGATATCAATAAGTTGATAACAAAGTAATAATTGGAGGAGTTATTACCCTGTAGTTGGGTTAGTTACCCTGTAATTATTTAATTCCTACCCTGTGGTTGCTCCTTGCTTTGAAATGGATAAGCTTTAACTGTTAAAAATTTAAATTTGGCACAGAGAAAGCATTAAAAGTCAGGCTGACAGCTGCAATTTTTCTCTTAGCTAACCTTTGGCTTGTCTCCACTGACAAAGATTGTATACAGGTAACCTTGGTGCAAATCCTGGGGGCTAAACCAAATTCTCAGAGTAATTTTTAGGTCACTTGCCCTCATTTCCCCTGAGAAGTAAGATGATCAGACTACCAGTGAGTGATACTATTGAAAGTTAGTCAGGACATGAGACATTTTTGAGCCCACATAGTCACATGAGTTTCATTGTGGCTCAGTGCTGACAGCGTTAGCCCTTTAACCCCCAGAAGTGGTTAAAATGCAACTGTTCCTTGCAATTCCAATATTTTTTCTTGCAAACAGGTTGTGAGAAGAGATAAGATTATCAGCTAGAGGATGCTGTGTTGATGAAACACTAAAAGTCATGTCTAATTTCCTAGGAACTGTATGGCAGTCAGTAGGGAGAAATACTAGTTGGATCTGGGAACCTAATAGGGTCAAAGGGTGTTGGGCATTGCCATACACATGCTGACGCACTGAACCATATTTCTTTGAAGTCAAATATTATTGAATGTATTAACATTTTCTTGATCATGAATGATGTTTTAGGTAAGTGTGGAATCAGTAATGGCAATCTTTAAATCCAATGTGGAAAATGTCAAAAAGCTTCTGTTAGCAGTAATTCCTCGCATTGCTGCAAAAGAATGGGATGACATCATTGAACAACGACAGGTACTTTAAATCTTACATTCTGCAATTAATATTTTCAATGAGAATGGACTTAAGCTTTTTCTTAAAAGGTTTGAGAGGGAAAAGCTTTACCCCACAAGCTCTTGTTTTTCTTATGCCTGGTTCTCTTTTGTTTAGTGCAGGAGAAACACAAAGGCTTAAGGGTAAACCTTAGGTGGCAAGTGATTTGTTGAAAAAACAATTCATACATTTCCAGTACACTCAATTTTACACTGAGACTCCAAATTTAGCTTTCATAAATTTAAAATTCTAGCTCATACATTTGTTTTTGTGTTTGATTTTGTCTTGAAGGCTGCAACCACAAGCAACACTATGCAACATGGAACCTGATCTTCCCAAAAGGATGTAGCAAAAACAATGTTGGATCTTGAGGATTTTTCAAGTTGACATTGGGAAATAAGGGAAACAGAAACCCTTTTACATGGGCTTCTTTAAGAAAATGTGAAGTAGAAGTGTATGGAATGTTTCGAAAGTATGGCATGTATATTTATGTCTAAGTTTACAACTGGAATAATAAATATGTCGTTTTACTGGTGTTGTCATTCAACCATTGTAAAGTCAGATCTAGAAAGGCTGAAGGACTCATCAGCTGCAAGGTTGTTGCATAAAATAACTGATAATGTCAAAGAAAATGTGCAAGATTCCTAACACTAAATGAGATTCTAGTCCTTATTGCTTTCATTTGTGATGAAGAGTCAATCATTTATAGGTAATAATTTATTCCTTTGTTGTTCTTTTTAGGCACACCTAATAACTGGTACATAATAATTTAATTAATATCCACATTTGGAAATGGTTAAATGTCTTCACTGCCAAATTGAGATAATAAACCAAAAAAGGCTTGAAAATCAACTGGTGCTATTCTGTGAAGCTTTTAACAGGAAAAGGGAACTTTTCATTATTTATCAGATGAGTTGGGGGGGGGGGGAGTGAGAGGGTGAGTGTGAGAAAATAAGGGATTGAAACTATTGTGAACTTGGAGGAGGGGTCTTTAAGTAGCTGAAGGGCTAGTTAGGGAAGACCTAAGGAAAAAAAAGAAACGACAACTAAACAAACAAACAAAACAAACAACATATTAAACAATAAAAACATAATCCAAGTATGCTGTAATCAAAATACAATGATGTCTGCCCTTATAATGCTATCTGCTTTTGTAATATTTCACACTAAAGAGAAACAACAATGGAGTGGGTAATCATTGATAACCATGAGTAGCTATAATGTGCAAACAAAGCCCCAAATTGATCATGATTTCCATTAAGAAAAAAATAAAGAAAATGGGACCTTAAGTTGTCAAAGGTGAAACATCAGTATAACTAAAATAAACCTACTTTACAACAGAAAATACCAATAAAAGAGAAAAAAAAAGTAAATTCACGTGTTACATGCCTGCTCTATCGGGTGGTTGGGACAGAGAGTCAGGTACCTCTTTAGCTACACAGGTTGTGTGATGATAGTCTAGAGAACTGTTTCTTTCATCTTTTGCAAATTATGCATACATTTACATGAAAATGAGAGGAAATGTGAAAGAAGCAAAGCAAAAGAGGTCTATTGGCCAACAGATAACCAACAGGCCACTGAATCTTCTGGGATATTTGGTGGTAGGTCGTTGGTGTTTTTCCTCCCAAAAATGACGGACAACCCTTTGAACGTAGTCGCCATCGGAAAGGAGAAGAAAATTATAATCAAGAGCCATATCCCAACTCATATAGGGGAAGTTTTTCTGCAAAATGTGTTCAGTACTTGCAGAAAGATTAGGGATTGTAAACTCAAGAGGGACAAGACTAATTGAGTTAACCTTGGCGATGCTTTTGTGAACTACAACACTGAGGCTACAGCTGTGAGAGCAGCAGCATATTGATCACCTTCCTTTAGTTATTTAATTATTCCTTCTTGTCTTCCTTTAATTATTCCTTCTTGTCTTGTAATAAGGATTTCTTCATTTATTGCGTCGCAAATATTTCATTAAGAACCAATCCTCTAAAGTTCGACTTCCAAGGGGGTTACAGAAGGAGGGGAGGTGGGAGTGTTGTAGCTTCGAATAGATCTGCGCATTATCACAAAATTTTGACTAGCCCTCTTGCACGCTTTGCATACCTGTTATATCGACCGGTTAGGACCGGGTACAAGCATGTGCGCGGAGAGTCGAATGTATGGTTGAGAACTGTGAATGTTCGAAGATCTACGTTCAGGTACTTGGCATTTCTTCTCTTTAAAATGACGGAAATCCCTACAAACGGAGTCGTCGACGCGAAAGAAAAGAAAAATGTAATCGTGAACTATATCCCACCTCATATAACGGAAGCTTATTTGCAGAACATGTTCATTACTTGTGGAAAGATTATAGGTTGTAAACTCATGAGGGACAAGACTAACGGAGTTAGCCTTGGCTATGCTTTTGTGAACTACAACACTGAGGCTGAAGCGGCGAGAGCCATAGAAATGTTTGACGGACATCAACTTGACAACAAGAAAATAAGAGTAAGTTATGCCCGGCCATCTTCAGAGGAGATTAAAAATGCGAACTTGTACATCAGTGGATTACCTAAAGCTATCGGTGAGAGCGACCTAAAAACGTGGTTTGCTGTTTATGGAACAATCATTTCTTCGAAAATTTTGTTGTTAGAAAGCGGTGAAAGTCGTGGTGTAGGATTTATTCGCTATGACAAAAGGGCAGAAGCCCAGGCAGCCATTGATGCACTGAATGGTGTCACCGTGGCACCTGGCTCTACCCTTGCTGTGAAGTTTGCAAACCCTCCCAAAGGTATTTCTTCAGCCCAGTTACAGTCTGTCTCAATGTTACCTGCGAACGAAGTTTTAAGACCAGAACTGAATCTCGGAGGAGTCGGTCCCATTCATCATGGGACGACAAACAATCGATTCTCTCCACTAGGGGCCGTTCGTAATTCTTCAAACTATTTCACAAATCAAACGAACAATCAAAATCATCAGAGTCCTGCACATCAAAATTCTAAAAACAATTGTCACTGCATATTCGTATATGGTTTGCCGACTTCAGAGGAGGACATCGCCAATGAATTGTTGCTCTACAAACTTTTTTCTCCACACGGAGCCATTTTTTCGGTGTCTGTCAAGAAGGGCACCGGATATGCCTTTGTCAATATGATAAGGTACGATGAGGCCTTACGAGCAGTTACGAACTTAAATGGATACTTTGTTCAACAACACAATACACATCTTCAAGTGTCTTTTAAAAAATGCAAACCTTGAACTGTTTTACACCATGAGCAATTAATGTGAACGTGAATACGAGCAGAGCATGTATTTGTGTTATTGTTGTAGATATTGGTATCCAGAGTTAAAATATGGAGAGCTACCTCGGTGATTTGGTGCCTTGAAAGCACAGTCCTCACCAGTGCATAAGCATTATCATGGCCTTTTTTTACAAGTGCCTGAGCACCTGTATGTGCTTCAATTGCCAGATGGGACTGAGCTTTAGCAGTGAAAATCAGCCCACACTAAAACCAACAGGATGCATATGCATACATAAGAGGGCTATTTTCACAATTTTTTATGATCAGCCCTGTCATGCTAGCTGGCAGTTGATGGGCCTCTTAAAACTTATTTTTTTATTGATGAAATATGGCAGCATATATTAAACTTTTAGGGCCGGTAATTTAAACAAAGTTTAGCTGTTGTTTAACAAAACTGCATTTTAAACTATCATGTATAAAGCTGAATCTTTTGTCTGCACATTCATTTTTGTGAACAGTGTTAAGAGGGCTCAAAGTTATAAGTGGAAGGACATTTTTCAAAGAAAACAACCTTCTCATAGAGAATATGCAAGGCCCCCAACTTGTGTAAAACAGTGGTTTGGATTATACCTCATGTAAATAACTGGCCCTTAAGGTTTCTAACTTGGAGTTTATTTGAGGGTTTGTTTATTTGGAAATCATATTTTAAGACAACAATTATCATCTACCATTTGTAAATACAGATAACCTCTAACTACTCTTATTAACAATCTCACCAGTCAGCTCTATATGAGAGAGCTTTCTCCCCCCTCCCCCCCAGTGTAATTGGTAGTTACAAATCTAATGTCCCACTCAAAATGAACATTCAACGACATGAAACCCAGTTGACCAATAAATTATCCCTTATCATTAAAAAAAGTTACAAATGTTAAAAAATTCAAATTCCTGTATTTTTTAGCGCGTTGAGGATATTCCTCATTATGATTGATGAATTTCATGAAGCACAATCTTCTTGATGAGGTAGTGTGAATCAGACTTTAAGGTCACAAGAACAAAGGAAATGATCACTAACAATTTAGAAGCTCTTGATTGCAAAACAAATTCTCCTTGTCAGTGGCACCTCAGGAAATGCATAGGGAACAGTATGGAGAAGACAAATGTTTGGGTGTAAAGTGAACTATTTTTTTGTTCAATATAGTTTCAGTATGTTCCTCCAATAAGTAATTTTGTTGCAGGAGTGGCATTGTTGAATTGTTCCATCATTACCTCAAAACCAGCTCTCACTCGGTCTTCTTGTTCAATGGAGTCATTCAGCAACAGATGCGTATCCAGGAGTCCTGTTGGTGTGCCTGCTTCGATTTCACAAACAGCATCTTCTTTGTCATTATAGTGTTGAGAAAATGATAGACATGATCAATGTAATTTAGTCATTGGCTCTTGATCACATTTCTGTGTCTGTCATTTTTTGCTACATGCAGGATATTGGTGAAGGTATATCTGTCTCTCCTTAGCATCTAAAGGGGTTGGGAGTCTTTTCCATCCACCTTCCATTTGCCTCAACAGCTCTATCCATTTGTGTCTCTTGTTAGAGTGGTTGTGATGTTGTATTGTAACCCAGGAGCCACTATTTTTGTTTTTGGAAGAGAAAGAGGTATTTAAGTCACCAAATGAGATATGTTTGAAGCTTGGGACTATAGTTATATCCTTTATTCTGCTTTGTCAATATTAGCAATAAAAAAGAGACAGTTCTGGATGTAGCCATGATTTTGACATGGGTTGTTTTCCAGAATCTTTTTTTTCTACCATTTTCTGTGTATCATTATGCTGTCAAAATGGAGAGAAACTTTTACTACTGTCTATGAATAAATACTACATGACCAGTGTCTCATTCTTGCAGTCTGAGTTTCAGGCCAGCTTGTAGCTGATAGCACTACAGCTTCTATGTACAAAAACCTGCCTACCTAAGCAGCAACCAAAACTGATTGTACTCAGACTATTATTTTAAAGTATTACCTTATTGAAGCATTGGATTTTGATAGAGATATGTGTACTTACTGATAATAACAGCTGATTCTTACAAACAAAACTTGTTCTAAATTAATGGTTTTCAACCTAAGAATGGCAGTCAGTCATGTACTCTAATCATTCTGGTGTTGGCTATCATCACAATGCACTATAGTTTAAAAATAAGAGTGAGGTGATTTATTGTTGCTCAGAGGAAACTCTCAAAAACACCACTGGAACTTCATTGGTTGGTTTGATGTGGGTTATGAAGTCAAAGAATTGAAATTTCTCCCCAATTTTTTTCATCATCTTTATGTAATTAACTGGTCTTGTACTTAGACCTCCCTCGGCTCAGCTTTGGAAGATAATTGGGAGCTGGGACATAGTTCGTAGGAGATAAATTATTTCATTTTTAACCATCTTTAAAAGCCTGTGCTTGTCACGCTCCTAACAAACGCACGTAGAACAAACCAAAATCAGAAATCTAGTGCATTGGCGAAACAGTAACAACTTGACCTCCCACTCAAGATTGGCATTAAACCTTGCACTAACGGTGTCCATATAATATTTATAATACTTCCTGTTGAGCTGTTCACCTCTAATCGTTGCAAATTCTTATTTTCAAACCAGTTTATTTTATTTGTACTTTGAAACGTCAAGTTACCCTAAACTAGCCGCTAAATTGTTAGTTTCGTAAACTGCAATATTGACCAGGGTTCGTCGATCATTTCAATAGTTTGTTTCTTTTGAGCGTATTTCAAGCCATTGACAATCTCTTTGCCAACTACGTGGGGTATTAGGCTCCATCTTTGAATCAGGTTTGCACCTGATTTTGAAGAACATCTCACGTTTAGATCTTGGCTGAACTTGGCCAGAATTCATGATAAATCATTGCTGCGGGAGCAAGGAGATCAATGTTTTCCAGTTTAGCCTCGAAAATATATGTTTCGGAGACAAATTCTACAAACCAGTAAAAGGTAGAAAATAATTTGATTTTGCTTCCGAATTATATGTTTGCTTGTTTAATTATCATTTTAGCAATGTTGATTAGCCTCCATTGCCACTCATTAAGAATGAGATCAATATCAGGGCTCGATAGAAAAATATAAGAATGAAAAAACCAAATGGACACAAAAAGTAAATGAGTTAAAATGACACTAAAATTCCCTACGAGCTTCGGAATAAGGCAGATCAGCAATTTCATCCCCAAGAATATAACAATCGTCGTGGTTGAGTTATCTCCTTTACGAGATTTGTCCAGTTTCTTAAAAATTTATTTTAACGAAAGAAAAAAGAATATTTCCCGGCATCTTTTAATCTCAGGACCATGTTTCTTGACCGATTGTGTTAGATCATCCTGTTAATTTGAGCAGGCGTCATATAAATTGACCCCTCCTTTGTTAGACGGTAAAAAGCATTTGTTGTAATTTTCTACTTTAACGATCAAATGCTTTAAGAAGTGGTACAGTTACTTGCCAACGGCCTTAATTAATGCGTCGACCTGATTAAAAACATTGTTGGTAAAATGTCGGAAGCTCTGTTCTACTGTGACTGGAACAACCGCACCGCGCTTTGAGCTCGTTGACCCTCCTCATTGCTACCCCAAACAGTTTGAAGAAATTCCGGTCATCTAAAAAAAGAGAATAATGTTTGGAAATATCTGTATCATCTAACGGCGGAGTTTTTCTTGTGTAGTGGCTGATGAGTATATTTTCCCCGATTGACAGTCACCCCAAAGCGAAGGCACATAGCACCTTTAATTAACTTCTATTCTCCTACATGTGAAAACATAAACATACAATCGCTGTAATTGCCAACATGTTTGCCTAAGGAATTAATTTCCTAAAACATTCACAATGTTGCACGTTTGCCGAGGGACTTATCTATTAACCTGACGTAATTACGGCGTTCGGCAAGACAAAGCCCAGCCAACTTAATTCTCTCGTCATTAAGCTCTATTTTGTCATGATGAATTGGTTTAGAAATGTGAAAGAGAACGGTTAATGAGGGCTTCCGAGGCAAACAAAGCCTATTCACAGTTTCATTTACCGAGGAAAGATTATTTTTTGCTGTCGCTGATGAGTGGATTTGCGAAAGCGGAGTCCTATCTTTAAATCTGTTGCCATTAATCTTACTTACCCCATTTATAATTTTCAACCCTTTTTATGATTTTCCACACTAGTTTTGTCCTTATTTCAACGGTTTGTTCCAAATTTTTACATTCAAAGGAGATTCATTTGATAAACACCAAGGTTATTGATTAAAGAGAAAATGGAGTTTAAGCCAATAGGTTTTGGCATAATTACTTCATCAAGGCTCTAAGAGCTGAAAGCCTGGTTAATTATCAGCGAGCTCGCTTGCAATCAAACATTATTGTTATTTGGCTTTCGAGGGAGAACATTTGCTTTGGGCCCTAAAAAAAGGCTATCACTTTTTTGTCCTTTTATCATCGCAGACGCCAGTGTTGGCCACTAGAAGCAGTTTCCGTCACTGTTTTGAAGCTAATTAAGCTGTATTCATCAGGACGGGAAGCTTTCATTCTACTGACAACCGAATTTACCTCCATTGGTGACTTCGAAGAACACTCAATCCGAATAACAACCACAGAAATGATGAGAAAGCGCACTTTTGAAAACTCCGACGTTTCTCGGCTATCTCCCTCGCTTTATCCGCTAGACGATCTACGAAAAACCGAATTACTCATTCTTCAACCAGCTTGCAAACTTCAAGATCTACAGATACAAGACACGATTGAAGAAGTCCTCAGAACGAACTTGCAAGGTGTTTGTTACACAGCATGGGATAGCGACGCACGATGTGATGCTTTGAGTCAGATTATTAAGCAAAAACTTCGAACCATTCAACACCAATTTGCCTATTTTAACGTGGTTGTTTTGATTGGTCAGGCAAACGATACCGGGATAGAAAAAGCTTCACATAAGGTATGGAAACCTGAATATGACAGTTTTGCATCTGCGTGGTTCAGAAATGAATCACTGTTTGCAGTTGGAACAGTGTTTGCTACTTATGCCACACGAAACTTTTAATCTCTCGGAGCCTACATCGAAGACAGAGCTAGGAACTAGAATTTATGATATGTGATCGTTGCTGATTCGGTTCGATGGTTCGAGTTTTTGAGTCGCGCACACTACTGATAGACGGAAACATCTTAATAACCAATAATGTGTATTATAGTGTACAAGTTGAAGTGACTTCCAAAACCCACTGACGTGTTCATTTTTAATGAAAACAGAGAAATTTAGAAATAAATTATCGCTTTTTTACCTAACTCTGAAGCGTTATTTCTTCAATGCAAAATTTTCTTGTACATGAACACAGTCAAGCATATCAGCATATCATTTCCTTTTGTCGGAAATCTAAAAGTTAACAAGAAAGAAATGTAAATTTATCCCTTAACAAGCAAGAGTCAGTTGACGTCTTCATTCTGGTCGCTTTACGCTCTCTTGTATATAGCAAGTTAAAATATGTCTAGAATTAAGTAAAATGAAATAAAAAGAAAACAGAATAAATCTTTCAAGTCATTAAATTCAAGGAAAATTTTAAAATATGTTAGACAGTTTTTCTTGTTTACAGAGAATTTTTAAAGGAAAATGCAAATTACTGGTGAGTGGGTAAATCACCAGTCAGTGACGTGAACAGAAAGGAGTGTTGATTAAGGAACAGGAAATGAATACGATGAAGCAGGTTCTGTTAATGTACAATAATCGTAAATAAAATACAGTATTTGAAAAGAACCTTCCATTTAGTAAACCACAAAATGTCTCAAGTTTTCTGATTAGTTTAAATTTCTTTTTATCAGGATGCATATCAGAACCAGATTTAAATTCATTGCCAGATTTTTTGAACTGCCCTCTACTGTCCCACTCTCGTAATTTTGTTCGGTTGAATGTCCTGATTGAATGTCAAATCCACAGTTCACCATGGAGTGGAGGGGGGGGGGGGGAGTTGTCGCGATAATGGACCTTGATGTAACAAAGTTTGCACAGAAAAGATCTCTGGAGTTTCATTTTAAGTTCTTTTTTGTCATCACAATACGCTCAGGGACTCGATGTTTGGCGAAAAGTTTATTGAAAATCTCAATGTGTATCAAACAAATACCCACAGCCTGTTTTCCACTAAAGCATACTTTCGAATAAGCAAGAAGTTTGTGGCTTGCTGACGGAATCCTTAGAGGTCATTACAGACCGATCGACGAAGGAGTTGATCTTTCCTCAGGCCATCTGTCTCAATGATATACTGTTTCCACCGATGTTGTACCAATAGGAAGAGAAAAAGGTGGAGACGAGAAAGGAAATTAGGGTTTCGGAGGCTAAAGGTGTTTTTTTCAGCGTTATAAAGTAACATTTAGATACTACGTGTGCTCTCATCAAATGGCAGGTGTGTTGGAAAAAACGCAGTGTTTGCAGTGTCACCTAAACACTCGAGGGCTGGGAGAACCGAGTCCTCTATCGCGTTCGTAGCCTATACAACTTGTCAGGAATTCTTGGCCAAAGTAACTGCAGAATATGCAGTTTTTCGATGAGTTTTTCTAACGGACAGAGGCGAGCGCCAAGCCTCCATTCGCATGAAAAACGCAAAAAAAAAAATTACTCCTTTTCTGCAGGCTGTGGCCCAAAGTCTTACGACATGTTTTAGAGAGGTGTGAAGGAAGGCTCACCAATATCTACTGACGTACAGGCATGAATTGGTTTTTTAAGGATTTATGTTAACTACTGCTTAAGTAGTG